ACAGAAGCAAAGCCCAAACCACACCCACTGCCATGGAGTCCATTCTGACCCACAGCGCCCCTAGAGGACAGAGTGGAACTGTACCTGGAGGGTCTCCAAGGCTGTCAATCTTCATGGAAGCAGACTGATTACCTCATCTCTCCCCTGTGGAGTGGCTGGTGGATTTGAACCACTGACCTCTGGGTTAGCAGCTGAGCACTTCAACCACTACACCAGCAGTGCTTTCAAAGGCAGGTTTGGAGAGGCCTTCTCTCTTGAGCGGCCCACAGTCAGGCTTTCGGCTAACACGAGACAAACAGTGTTCCCTTGCCCAGAACACAGCAGAGCTTCCTGCAACTTCCAGAGCAGCACCCTCGCCCCTGGGGCTCGCGGCCTCTGACTGGCCCTGAAAAAGGCCTTGTCACTTCCTGTCAGCCCACAGCCTCCTCAAGGCATCTCACAGCATCATGTTGACTTAGACACACTGAAGCGGTGACATCTTCCCAGAACTCCGACATGGCTGGTCTCGGGGGACCAACCCTGTCACAACCCCAGTGTGGCTGGCCAGGCTAGGACAGCCACCTCAGTGTCTGGGTACAATGTATGATCACTTCCTTTCAAAACCTTTTTTTTTTTTTCCTTGCTGCAAAGACTTTATTTATTTTTCACTTTTTACTGTGATTTGGGGAAAGTTTACAGAGCAGATTGGTTCAACGGTTCACACACGTTTTGTTTTGTGACGTTGACTGTGGCCTCCACAATGCAACAGGTCTCTTCCCACTTCCCCTGTGTTTCCCATTTCCCTCCGTCCTTCTGGTCCTCGCATGGTTTGTTGTTCTAAGGGCTGTGCACCTCTGTGGTGGTTCTAAGGGTGGTGCACCTCATAGACCTGTCTGCTATTTGGCTGAAAGCTGGGCCATGGGGGTGAGTGCAGTTCCAGGCCTCAGGTTTTTAGGCTACTTTTTAATTTTTAACTGGGCAATCTACTTCTGTAGAGTTACCGCCTCGGAAACCCAAGGAGGGGTCACTATGAGTCAGGACCGACTCGAGGCAGTAAAGTTTTTTTTCTTGGAGGCCACAGAGGGGCCTGGACCGGGCTTTCCAAGACGGCAGCGCTGGGTGGTGGTGGTGGGAGTGTGTTTCATGGCGCCTCAGCCGACAGTCCCTTGCCTGCTTTTCTATGCAGGAAACATAGCAGGTTCTGGAGCAGCCCAGGGACGGCCGGGGAGGAGTGAGGTGTGCGGAAGGGGATCCAGAATGGCCCTCAGTGGCGCCTTCTCTTTGCCCGGAAGACCAGGTCCCGCCTCCCCAAACACAGACTCCTGGGCACGGCTGGAGGCCCGTGAGTGCCTCTCCCGTTCCAGGCCCCTCCTCCACAGCCCCTTCTCTGAGCAGAGAAGGGTAGGTGCCGATGGCTGTCAGTTTTTAGGCTTTGCACTCTCTGTGCCTCCCCACCCCATAACACCCCCCTTTAATCCCAGACGCTTGGATGAGGGACGAAGCAGCCTCAGAAAGCCAGGAACCAGGGCTCCGGACCTGCGCTCTGGTGCCCCCTGCTGGTCCATCTGCAGACGCCCAGGGCTTCGCAGGCCAACACAGGGTGAGGTCCGCTGAGCCCCGCCGAGCGAGCCACCCGGCCCTGCCCCAAGCAGGACCTCACTGCAGGTCAGGGTCCCTGTCCCGGACCAGGACCCCAGACCTCCCCCGGGGACCCCCCTTGCTTCCTCACGCAGGTGTGTCTGCACTCAGCAACGTTCCGTCACGTGGTGATGCATGGTGCACGTCTATTGAGTGAATGCAAGGCTCCTCGCCTTCTGTGCTGGGGGCCCGAGTCAGGCACTGGTGGCCTGTAGGCCCTCATCTGATTTGGTGACTGATGAGGACACACGACAGCCTCCATTTCTGTGCCTGGAGCGTCACAATCTCCGTGAGTACCAGCTGCTGGCTTAGCCATCGCTGACGGCATGTCTATGCCCCCGAACGCTGTGCTTGGAAGGCGGCCGACAGCCACACCTCTGTGGGGTGTCACCCCCTTTTCACAGACCAGGGAGCTGAGACTGGGCAGTGGAGAAACTTCAGTACATGCAGGACACAGGCTTGAGTCCCCCAGAGCCACCAACTCCCACAGTCTTTATTTGCTATGCAGTGAGGCCTGCAGACCGGAAGGTTCCACCTCAATGTCGTGTCACCAGGAGCTTGTGAACTGCAGACCCACACCTGGTGAATCGTGGCCAGCCTAAGCGCCCCACTCCGCCTGTGCCCGTCAAGATCCCAGCCTTTGTCCCACCTCGGAGACAGGAACTCAGGAAGATTCGATGCCAGGTCTACTGGGTATCTGTTCTTGCTCTTAGCCTTGAATTTCCTTCTCATTTTCCTGTACCTCCCATTATCTCCTTCAAAACACGTTATACCTGAACACATCAGAATCACGTGGGGCCAGTAGGTTCAAGATTCCGTCCTCTGGTTTGCACCTGCAGGCAGGTGACCCAGGAGGCAGGACCCCCCACAACCCGCTTTGTAGACATCCAGTAGGGAGGAGAGCTACCTTCCACTGTCAGCTGTCAGAGGGCACCGCGGCTGGACAGCCCAGGAGAGCTGGGGCCCCAGGGGGCACGCGGGACGCGTCCTCCAAGGCTGTCCACTGTCCAGCTGCATGCTGCAGACACACGTTGCCACACGGCTCAGCTGCAAATACGACCCACAGAGTCACAGCCATGCAAATGGGGAACACGGACTCCACAGGACTGGGGATGAGGTGAGTACGTGGTTGGGTGTGGAAGGAAATTAATTGGACGGTAATCATCACTTGCTCTCTAAAGATGGTCATAACAAGAAAAAATACAAGCACGCACTTTAGCAATGTGGAGAAAAAGAAAAGATTTGAATGTGGCTGCCTTAGCTGAGCGGGAACGGGGGTGGGGAGGGGCGGGCAGCCCTGGTGATTGCCTCTTAACCACGTCCGTGGTACCTTTGCAGTTGGGGTTGGGGTCCATCCAGTCGGTCGGGCTCACATCGATCCCACGTGACAGAGTCGAACAGCTCCAGAGGGTGTTCTAGGCTGCAGTATTTACAGAGAGGACCCCTGGTGGCTCAGTGCCTAAGCGCTCAGCTACTAATCAAAAGATTGGCAGTTTGAACTCCCAGCAGCTCTGCCGCAGAAAAATGAGGCAGGCCACTTCCATAAAGGGGACAGCCTTAGAGACCCATTGGGGCAGTTCCACTCTGTCCTCTAGGGGCGCTGTGGGTCAGAATGGACCCCAGGCAGTGGGTGTGGTTTGATTTGATTTCAATCTTCACAAAACAAATCACCAGGTGTCTCTCCCGCAGAGCCAACAGAACAGTTCGAACTGCCAGCCTTTCAGTTAGCAGCCCAGCTCTTAACCATTTCACCATTAGGGCTCCTTGCATTGACCCTAATGATAAAACTTTCCCAGAAAATATGGGTAAAGCACCTATAATGCCTGGGACAGCACAAAAGCCTAACAGTTTGTGCTCATCACCACCATCCAGTACACAGATCACCAAGTTCACCATGACCTGCAGGGCTCCCTCCCTTCTCACTCAGCACTGCCTAAAGCCTCCCACCATGATGTCTTCAAAAGAAGCTAAGTGGTGCTGTGTAGCACAGAAAACTGACTGCAAGAGAAATTAAAAATCCCGGCCTCTGAGATACAGAGCCCTGGTGGCGTATGGCCTAAGGGATTTGGTAACCAGAAGGTTGGCAGTTCAAACCCACCAGCCACTCCCCAGAAGGAAGACTGGGCAATCTCCTTCCCTAAAGATTGACCGCGTAGGGGATCACCATGAGTCCTAATTGACTGATGGCAGTGTTGTTGTTTTTTTCTTTTTCAATCTTCTGAGATACACCAGAGACTGTTTTTCGCCCCCGTAAGACCGATAATCCACCGGGGAGGTCTGGCGAGCCCACACCTCGGTCATGGGAGTACACAGTTGATCCCCCGTCCACAGAGTACAACTTCCCACGGCCATCGAGACCCTGAATGCAGTTAGCCCCACAACTCTCCAAAGAATTCTCCTACATACATACCCACCCTTGCACAAAATGCGGGGAGAAGCGTGCTTCTAATATCGGACGTCAGTAACAACCTAATTGTGTATGTGGCGTTTCCAGGTGACGAGGGATCACTTTTTCCTACTGAACTCCATGGTCTCCGAGAAGCACTCAAGTGGAAAAGCAAGGTGGGAAAAACCTCTTTGCTGGTACTATGCATAAAACGTTGACGGGCAGGTGCCCAACACTGGGAGCACTGATTGTTTCCGGGGGAGAGAACTGCGTGCCTGGGCCTAGTGGAAACTTCTGCACCGCATATCCCTACATCTTCTGAAATCTGATTCACTTGAAAGCCAAAAACAAATTTTAAAAAGGGAGAAGGGGATGAAAATATTTACGATGCATTTAATTCTTTAGCTGGGGGCCCAAGCCGGGACGGTTGTTAGCCCTGACGGGGCGCAGGATACTGGGATGTGCAGTAACCGGCTCCGGGTACCTGGGTATCAGCGCCACAGGATCCCACCGCGCTTGGCCCTGCCTACCGGAAGTCCATCACGCCCTCGCGCAGACCTTGCGGCTGCGCAGATCCGGCGCACCCGACAGCGAGGGGCAGGCCGAGCGTCGGCGGCCCATCGTCCGATGCGGCCCATTGGCTGAGAGGGGGGAGCGTGGGCCAGGCCGGTCGCTGATTGGACGGCGCACGAGCAGCTGGCGTCCGCGGGCCAATTGCGGCGCGGTGTGTGAGGAGAGGCGCCGGCCGACCTGGGGCACGGCGCTACCGCGGTCTTGGGCGCCCAGGGTTCTGCCATGGCTTCGGAGAAGCCGCTCGTTATCGTCACGTGCACAGCACCCGTCAACATAGCTGTCATCAAGTACTGTAAGTAGCGGGGTCGTGCAGACTCGAGGCCGGGGGCGCCCAGGGCAAGATCGGGCCTCCCCGGCGCCCACCCACTAGGGACCGGAGGCGCCCACCCACTAGGGACCGCCCGCGTGCGTCACCGCCCGGGGAGGCGGGGGGCAGCAGGGTGGCAGCGGGTGGATGGGGGCCGGGGTCAGCCCGTCCGTTCACCTTCTCTGCAGGTGGGCGATGGCTGGGTGGATGGGCTCTGGGTCACCCCGCAGGTAGGCGGGGGCGTGGCTGGCACAGGGTGGGCTGCACAGAGATGCCCCCACTCGGGAGTGGGAGGGCGGTGGCCCGGAGGCTGGCGGTGCCATGCACCATCATTGCGCATAATCATAGCAGCCGTTTGTGGAGGGCCCTCTGTGGGCCGTGTTCTTTAAGCCTCCCCCCGGGCCTTGTAAGGTGGTGCGGGCACTGAGGCTCGGACCAGTCGTCTCCCGACCCGCGTGCAGCCTGAGGTGCTGATGTCAGCTGTCACGGCCAGCCTGTCCAAGCGCTCCGCTGCTGGGGGGCAGGCAGGTTGGGGACTCAAGTTTGGACACGGTGCCTGGGAGGTGGGTCAGAGGCCCGATTCCTGTTCTGAGCTGCACCCCTAGGCAGCCGGCAGTGCTGGGGACCAACGTGGCCTCCCTCCACCAGCCAGGGCTTGTTATTCCAGATGGACAGGTTGGGGTGGATCCTGCTTCCCCAGCAAGCTGCCCTAGTCACCTCGGTCTCGCCCTGGGTCCCGGGCTGTTTTCTTTCTTGGCTTTAAATTTGGCAGGATTGTAGATTCCCATGACATAATCCTCTGTGCCCTTCACCTGCTTTCCCTGTGGGGACATCTTGCAAAAGGATACGGCACACTGCGTCACCACAGGCGTCCCCCAGCACCCGGGTGGCGTGCGGTGTGCACTAGACTACCGAGGCGAAGTGCTACAGAAGGGTCTGGCAGTCCCCTTCCATAAAGATGGCAGGCAGGGGAGCCCTGGGGGCAGCTCTTCTGTGGCACGTGTGAGGTCACCGGAAGTCAGAGTTGACTCAACAGCTGGAAGGGCAGTGTGACCCTCGGCCTCAGGAGGACGTAGGGGCTGGCTGGGGGAGCGCCACTGGGGGAGCCAGGTGCTGGCGGTCTGGGAGCACCCCAATGGGCCCTGCCTTTGGTCGTCTGCTCCAGGGGGAAAACGTGACGAGGAGCTGATCCTGCCTCTCAACTCCTCCCTGAGCGTCACCCTCCACCAGGACCAGGTGAGCGTGGGCCGGGCAGAACTGCTCAACAGCTGGTGGGGCAGGGGCTCAGCAGGGAGCACTGTCCCAGCAGACGACAGCGTTGTCCTGTGTCCACACGCACACTCTGACGTCTCAGGTCTCATCGCTGGTTCACACACACACACGTGCCCCAGGTGTCATCTCACCACGTAAGGACACGTACACACACACACACACACAATTACACATGTTATATGCATACACACGTCCTGAGGACACACGCACGTGTCCCAGGTCTCATCTCACTACGTAAGGACACACGTACACATACACACACACACACACACACATTACACATGTTCGTATGCATACACATGTTCTGGGGACACACATGTCCTGGGGACACACATGTGCCCCGGGTCTCATCTCATCACATAAGGATACACATACACACACACACATGTTCATATGCATACACACGTCCTGGGGTTTCACCTCACCACATAACAGACACATGTATATACCAGTACACACACATGTGCACATGCACGCCCGGGGTCCCTGGGAACGCCTGGCCTGATGTGTGGGATGTGGCTGTGCTGTGGCAGTGAAGTGGCCATGTGTTGTTCACGGCTCTCTGCATCTGCCCCACCCCCGCCCACCCTGCCTCTGCTTCCCCACCTCCAAGCAGGGCTAGAGCTGCCCTGAGGCCGACCTGAGTGGCCTCGGGGAAGAAGGGCCTCCCCCGCAGAGAGGGGGTGCTAGGCTGGACCCCCACCAGCTCCCGAGATAACCCAGCTTCCTTTCCAGCTAAAGACCACCACAACTGCCGCCATCAGCAGAGACTTCGCAGAGGACCGGGTCTGGCTGAACGGCGTGGAGGTGGACGTGGGGCAGCCCCGGTTGCAGTCCTGCCTGAGGGAGAGTGAGTCTGCACGTCCCAGTCCCCCGGGCGAGGGCCAGGCGCTCTCACCAGTTGGCAGCAGTCTGCCTTCCCCGCCACTTCCGGGAGCCCAGGGGTCTGTGGCTGGGGCTTTCCTGGGCAGGAGCTTGTGTGAGAGGTGAAGGGGTCAGCGGGGCCCTGAACCCTCTGGCCCGGGGGTGGGCTGGCCCCACCAGCATTGGGTGCTAACGGTGTCCTGGCCTGCAGTCCGGCGCCTGGCCTGGCAGCAGAGGAGGACAGACGAGGGGGATGCCCCGCCCCCGCACCTCAGCTACAAGGTGCACATTGCATCGCAGAACAACTTCCCCACGGCCGCGGGCCTGGCGTCATCCGCCGCGGGCTATGCCTGCCTGGGTGAGTACCACAGGGCTTTGTGCTCTGTGCCGGGGCAGAGGTGCTCACAGCTGGGGAGCCCAGCCGGCGAGAGCCGTCCCCTCCAGGCCCTGGCCGTCCCTTTGCTCGGTTCCTCAGGCTCCACATGTCTCCACGGTGAAGTCATGGCAGCCAGTTTGCCAGGACATGGGTGGTCGGTGACAGCCCTGTCTCTAAGTGCTGTAAGCTAACGTCAGTGTGGCTTCTTGGCTTGTCTGAGGGTGGAGCTGGCGCCACGGTCCCTCTGCTTCCTGAAGATCTTCCTGAATCTGAGCTCTGGTTTTTGTCTGTTGGGCTCACTGTCTGGCACGCACCTCCGCTTGGTGGCAGGGCCGGGCACCAGGGCAGAGGGACGCCTCTCGCCCAGCAGCTCAGCACAGATGCCAGGACAGCGGCTGTGGGCCCAGCTCCGGTCCCATGATGTGCTGGATAAGCAGGCTGGGGGGTGTGCTTAGCTTCTCTGGGGACACGTGGACTTGGGGGTGCCCCTATTCACCTGCCCCATCCCGAGCTGCCCCAAGCCTCATCCTTGCCCTCGACAACTTCCCGACTCCCTCCCTCAAAACTCAGCTCAGATGCCCCTCCTTGAAGACTCCTCCACGACTCCTTCCAAGCTTTTACAGCTCCATGCCCTGGGTCCCCTGAGGGTTTGAGAATCCCAAGACGGTGAACCCTGAGTGGCCAGAGTCATGTTCCGCCACTCTCCGTAGTCCTGGGCAGGCACTTGACAGTAACGGGTGGGCGGGTGCGCGGATGACTGGCTGACTCTTAGAGCTGCTGGCCAGGGGTTCAGTGGTCCCCGCACCATTGCCACGTGTCTCAGCCTCCTTGGCCATCTCTGAGCCTCTGTGTCCTCCTGTGCCCACAGCCTACACCCTGGCGCGAGTCTACAGGGTGGAGGGCGAGCTCTCGGAGGTGGCCCGCCGTGGCTCGGGCAGCGCCTGCCGGAGCCTCTATGGCGGCTTTGTGCAGTGGCACATGGGAGAGCAGGCCGATGGCAAGGACAGCATTGCCCAGCAGGTGGCCCCCGAGTTGCACTGGCCTGAGCTCTGGATCCTCGTGCTTGTGGTGAGTGAGCCTGGGGAGTGCTCACAGACCAGGTCCACCTGCTACCCGGTGGTGGGCACCACTTAGAGCAGCACCGGCTGCTGGTGAGTAGGGGCCCCTCAGTGAGCCTCAGGGCTGTTTCCCAGCCCGCCAGATGCTGCTGCCCTGCTGAGAGTGAGGAGGTGCCGGCCCAGAGCCACACAGCCTCCGCCATGGCCAGAGCCCCGGGCCAGCGTCCCTGGCTCCCACCCTGTCGGCCCAGCCCACACCTGCTGCGTCCGCCACAGCCGAGGGGAGGCGGGGCCTGCCCACACGCACAGCCCCTGCAGGGCCGCCTCTTACCTTGTGGCCCAGCCGTCGGCAGGAGCACAGCCTCTGCTCCCCCTCTACCCCCGGCTGCCCTGAGCTCGGGTGTCCAGGGCAAGCCCCGGGTAGTGCCTCACTCCCCAGCCCCGGCTGACGCGGTCACTCTGGGGGCTGGCGGATCCGGGGTCCAGCCCTGGAGCCCGAAGACCTGGCATCTTCCCTGCTGAGACTCAGAGTTGGAGGTGGATGGGGGCAAGTTTGGGGCCCTGTGGGTCGTGGACACGACACAGGGACTGCCTCTGCCCGGCAGGTGAGTGCTGAGAGGAAGCTGACGGGCAGCACGGCCGGCATGCAGACCAGCGTGGAGACCAGCACCCTGCTCCAGGTGAGGCGGCGGGAGGGCCTGGGAGGGCCTGCTGGGCGTGGTCAGTCAGTGCGGCTGCTGCCACAGGGGCAGAGTAGGCTCGGCTGAAGCCGGCTGCCAGGGGGCCCGCAGCTTGCAGACACTCACCTGTTGCCCTGCAGTTCCGGGCCACGTCAGTGGTGCCAGGGCGCATGGCCGAGATGATCCGATGCGTCCGTGAGCGGGACTTCTCCGGCTTCGGACAGCTCACCATGAAGGACAGCAACCAGTTCCATGCCACCTGCCTGGACACCTTCCCCCCCATCTCCTACCTCAACGACACCTCCAAGCTGATCATGTATCTGGTGCACCGCTTCAACGCCCACCATGGGCAGACCAAGGTAACGTGTCCAGGGACCTCAGAACCACCCTGTGCCAACCACTGTCTAAGTGCATGCCCAACAGAGAGTATGCTGCCAACCGGAGCCTCACAGAGCACGCCCCGCCCCTGGGGGCACAGAGCATGCTGGCATTGCTACGGGCTCCCGGTTCGCTCTGTGTCAACGCTGTCCTGGCCGACTCCTTGGTTGCGTGACCCAGTGTGGCTGTGACACTGTTTGAACCTGGGAGGGAGATTGTGTCCCTTTTGTGTTACTGGGCAGGGGTCCCACGTCAGAGGTGCAGGGCCTCCCTCTGCTGGCCCGAGGGCCCAAGGGCAGCTGGTGGGCAGAGCGTTGGGCACTGTGGGGCTCCAGCTGACTGGCACGTCCCAGGTGGCGTACACGTTTGACGCGGGTCCTAACGCTGTGATCTTCACCCTGGACGACGCTGTGGCGGAGTTTATGGCAGCTGTGAAGCATTGCTTCCCTCCGGAGTCAAATGGAGACAGGTGAGTGACGGGGATCTCCTGCCAGGAGCGGGAGTGATGACGGGCTGCAGGAGATGCATGGGGCGGCGTGCCTCCCAGTGCCTGGGACGCATGTCAGGGTCCCCCGGGGAGGACGCATGCTGCACGCAGTTAACGGGACGCACGTCGGGGTCCCCCGGGGAGGACACACGCTGCACGCAGTTAACAGGACGCACGTCGGGGTCCCCCGGGGAGGACGCACGCTGCTCGCAGTTAACGGGATGTATTTCGGGGTCCCCGGGAGGACGCACGCTGCTCGCAGTTAACGGGATGCACGTCGGGGTCCCCTGGGAGGACGCACGCTGCTCGCAGTTAACGGGATGCACGTCGGGGTCCCCCGGGAGGACGCACGCTGCTCGCAGTTAATGGGATGCACGTCGGGGTCCCCCGGGGAGGACGCATGCTGTACGCAGTTAACCCGGGGCTGTGAGGACCCCTGGGCCCAGCAGCCTGGAAGCCCCGTTTGCTGAGCTGGCGACTTTATCTTGCTGCTCCTTCATGAGGACCACACGTTGCCACTTAATGAAAAGGGCCCCACGGCCCCGGGGTCTCCCCACAATGAGAGCCAGATTCCGGCGGGCCTCCTGAGACTGCCACCTCCTGCGTGGAGCTGTGTCTCGTGGGGCCCGACGTTGTGTGACAGCATTGACTTTGGTTCTGTGGGGCCCCACCCAGCATCCTAGGCCCAGCAGCATATCCCGCTGCCTCAGGGGCCCCTTGTCCTCAGCGAGGACAGAGCTTGCAGGGGCCTTGCACCGCCCACCAGCTTCTTGCCAGGGCATGAGGACAGTGGTGTCGTCTGGCCAGCGATGGGGGCGGCGCTGAGAGCACCGTTCTTCTGTGCCCTCACCGGTAGCCCAGCACTCGAGGGAATTCCCTGTTCCAAGGGGGGCGGTGGACACTGTCTCTGAGTGACTCTCCTTCTCAGCCGTTAGCCCACAGGGCCCAGCCTGGCACAGCCAGGTGCCAGGGCTGACCAGGACCTCCTTGGGGACCCTTGGTGACCGGCAGGTCTCTCCCCAGGTTCCTGAAGGGGCTGCCGGTGATGCCAGTCCCGCTGTCGGACGAGCTGAAGGCCGCACTAGCCCTTGACCCGAGCCCTGGCAGCATCAAGTACATCATTGCTACAAAGGTGAGTCCGGCTGGGGGGTCTGCGGGGCTCCCCTCCTGCGGGGCTCCCCCTCCGGGGCAGCGCTCAGCCTCACTGGCAGGGGGCAGGCTCCCTGGTGAGGATACAGTGGTGGTGGCGTGGATGCCGTGGTGGCTCCGCCTGCCGCTTTCAGGGGTCTGCTGGGGTACCACGTGCGCATGCCCTTGCTCGGCCCACCGCGGGGCGTCTCAGGTGCTGGGAGGAGGGACGTGACCAGGAGGCAGACGTGGGTGTTGCCTGGGGAGGGACAGACTCGGGGACAGCAGGTAAGGGGCCGCTGTCCGGAGTGAGTAGCCCCTGGAATGGGGCTGGGCACCCTCATTCTCTGTCCCTGAGTCTGGGTGGGAGAAGCAGGTGAGCAGGCGCTGGTCCAGGAGCAGGGAGCTCCTAGCGGGGGAGGGGAGCCAAGGGCGGCACTGCCGGTGCTGCCGAGTGTCTCGGGACTTACCCACCTGCGAGGACGGGGCAGCTTGGGGGCTCTCCCTGTGGGCCGACAGCCTCTCTGACCCGGCCCCTACAAGACGGCTGGAGCGGGTGGGGGGGTGGCCTTGTCACCCCATGAGCTAACGTGGGTTTCTCTGCCCCAGGTGGGGCCAGGGCCCCAAATCCTGGACGACCCCCACCTTCACCTCCTGGGCTCTGACGGTCTGCCCAAGCCTGCTGCCTGATTGCCTCTTCAGTGGCCTTGTCCAGGCCTGGAGCCACCATGATGACCGAGTGTGGCCTTGGGCTTCTGGATGACCACTGGCTCTGGACGCTGGGGCTGTGTTGGGGCAGCGAGTGACACCCACAGCTGTGCAGGCTCGGGGACCTCGGTGGGGATTGGGATCAGGGTGCAGAGTCCTGGTGGGACTGAGTCCAGCCTGGTGTGGCCATGGCTCTGTGCTCCGGCCACCCCAGAAATACTGCTTGTCATCCTGATGTGGGACCCAGCAGTGGGGGATGAGCGTGGGGCAGGGGTCGGCTGAGGGGCTCAGGAAACCTCCGGAACCCCTTTTGAGTCTGATAGGCCCTGAGACTTGGGGACCCGACCTCAGCTCTGCCGCAGGGATGGGGGTTTCCTTGTAAAAGCCACAAGGAGAAGTCCTGTGGCCTGGAGGGGTTCCCCTTCTGGGAGCCTCCCACCCCTACCCCCTGTGGCAGGGAAAGTGCCGTGGGGCTGGGAAGATGGGTGCCAACGGTGTGAGAGCTGCCACCATGCGGCCAGCGAATAAACCCGTGTCACTGATCCCGGCCTTGGCTGTCCTCACTGGTGGGTCACAGGACGTGCCCAGACGTCACAGAGCTGGACAGGCTGTGGTGCTTCGGGGCGCCGGGACAGGCTGCAGCACTCCGTGGGGGCCCTGGGACAGGCCGCAACAGTCTGGGGGCGCAGGTTCAGGCCGCAGCAGTCTGGGAGGGGCGCCGGGACAGGCCGCAGCACTCCGTGGGGGCCCTGGGACAGGCCGCAGCAGTCTGGGGGCGCAGGTTCAGGCCGCAGCAGTCTGGGAGGGGCGCCGGGACAGGCCGCAGCACTCCGTGGGGGCGCAGGTTCAGGCCGCAGCACTCTGGGGGCGCAGGTTCAGGCCGCAGCAGTCTGGGGGCCCTGGGATAGGCCGCAGCCCTCCGTGGGGGCACGGGTTCAGGACGCAACACTCTGGGGGTGCGCGGGTTCAGGCCACGGTGCTCTGGGGGCCGCTTCCGTCTCCTTGGGGGAAGGACACTTGAGCTATGCTGCCAGGTCCAGAGATGAGCTTCTCCTTCCCACCATGGAAGACGGTTGACAGCCTGTCTAGCTGTGCATGGTAAGCTTGAGCTCAAGGTCTAAAGGAAGTGTTGCTGACCTCAGCTCCACGGCCACCCCCCATGTGGGAGGGCAGAAGGTCCTTGGAGCCTGCCCCACCGCAGTCCAGCCTCACCCAGTGCTGAGCACCACAGGCGTGGGTGGGGATACCCACCCCGTCCCCAAACATGGGTCAGGCTCAGGTTCTCCTCAGCCAGAGCTCACAGGCACCCCGAGTCCACAGTTGTTTTCCAGGGTCACTGGGAAGCAGCTATCGCCTTCTGGGACCCCCTGTTTGCACCATCCATCAGACCTCTCCCAGTTCTGTTTCCAACTCAAGACCAGAGGAGAGTCAGTCATGGGACAGCTGGTGTCACGTCCACCTCAGGTCACAGCTGATCCTGACCCAGCCAAAGCCTCACCCATTTGCTGTTCTCTGTCCCCTCGCCCTGGGCCTGACCCAGAAGGGGCCCTGGGCGGGAGTCGGGAGGAGGTGCTGGGTTTTCCGTGTTTGCTACACTCCACTCCTTCCTCCTATTGCCTTGTGACTCTTGAGCCACCTCCCTGAGTTGCAGAAGGAAGTGCTGGGGTGAGCATGTGGGTGTCAGCGTCCACACCCCCAGGGCTGCTGCTGTTACTAACCCAGTTTGTGGGCCTGGGAGGGTGCCTGGTGTGGGGGCCTGAGCCGTCCAGTGGAAAGGCCTGTGGTCAAGCAGCCAGTGTAATCCCGGGCAGCCCTGGGTCCCTACCCGAATCCACACAGCCGGCTCCGGCACTGCCGCGGCGGGGCCCTGGGGACTCTGGTGAAAATGTCTCCATGGCCAACCTCGAGCCCAGCAGGTTGAGGGGGCGGCACAGCAGCGGGGACTGCTGGCTGGGCGCTGAGGAGCCGAGGGAGGAAGTGGGGCCTCCCCGAGCCGAGGCCTGGCCTGGGGGGGGCACACGCACGAGCACAGCTAGGCAGCGGGGCCCCAGGAGCTCTGCGCACCCCGCGCCCCTCGCAGCGGGACCCCGGCGCGTCCAGCTCCCTTCGCAGGGCGCCCTCGGGCCTCCCAGCTGCCTCCCGGGGCCAGGCCCGCCCCCAGCCTCCGGGCGACCCGGGCGGGTGGAGGCGTGCCTGTGGGCCGGGGCGGGGCCGGAACTCGGGGCGGGCGGGGTGGGGTCCCAGGGCGCGGGGCCGCAGGGCGCACAGCCGACCGCCGCCGCCATGGGGCAGATCGAGTGGGCCATGTGGGCCAACGAGCAGGCGCTGGCGTCGGGCCTGAGTGAGCGCGGGCGGCCGCGGGGCGCGGGCGCGTCTGGGCTGGGCGCCGGGGAAGGGGCTGCACACGGGCCGAGGGGAGTCAGAGACCCCCGCTGCGGACCGAGGAAGCCGCCCCGATTGCCAGGGTGGGGCTCGAGAGGGGCGTGGGGAGTCAGAGACCGGGAGCTGCGGCCGGGAAGGGGGGATTCGGGGACAGCTTTAGCGCCCCTCTGTGGGCCTGTGCGCTCCGGCCCGTCGCCCTGTGGGGACCACTGCGCGGCAGAGGAAGTTGCAGCCGAGGGAAGAGGCGTTTGGGCCCTCTTGGTTTCCGGAGTCGCTGCCCAGCCTGGTTGGGAAAACCTGGCCTGAGGGCCCGCTCCTGAACCCCCAGCCCTGGGTCGACACAGGCTCCCACCCCTCCGACCCTGTGAGGGGTAGGTCCGGGGCTGGTCTGTGGCCAGGGCCTGGGCTCCCTTCTTGGGGGCCTTGGAGTGGGCGAGGGGCCCTGGGGACTTGGGCAGACATTGTCCCCGTCACCTGCTCCGTCTCTCTGACCCCCGGCCGCCTCCTGCCACATCCCTTGTCCCAGCGCATTGCTCTCCAATGTTGACTTCTGTCTCTTCACGGGACAGTAGCCCCCTGAGCGCACTGGCCTTGCCCCTGCCATGAAGGCGTATGTGTCAGCACTGCACGTTGCAGGTGCTCCAGCCCCTTTCTGGGGGCAGACTGAGTCCTCCCGCCTCCCTACAAAGCCAGCCGCCCCCACTCGCTGATGGCAGGTAGCAGAGCAGGCTCAGGACGGGGACATGACACCCCCAAAGGCGTCAGTCAGCGTGCTAACCGAACATGTGAGAGACCTCTTCTTGGCAGCACAGAAACGCTAACAGAATAGGTTAATGTGTAGCTGAGCCTCAAGCAAGACTAAGATCCTTGGGACGGGGCCCAGTGAGGCTCTGGGACGGTGAGAGGGCCAAAGGCAGAGGGCGACCAGGATTGGAGCCGTGGAGGCCCGGCTTGGGGCCCGCGGGTGTCAGGGCCAGCGGTGAGGGAGGCTGAGCGGCCGTCAAGCTGGAGGCAGACCCATCCCGATGAAGCTCCCCGGCCTCTGGGGGCAGCGGGCTAATGAGACCTGGCGGGCCTGTGCTGCGCGAGGTGTGAGGGCCGGATCCGGCCTGCCCTGTACAGGGCCCCAGACCAAGACGCTGAGATAAACCAGACCCGGGACGAGAGAAGCACCCCCGGGACTGCTCTGTTGGTTGGGAAGGACAAGGTGAAGGTCCTGGAGGGATAGCGGATGCACGTAGAATGCGGGGTGGCACCCAAACACTTGAGAAGGGCCGCCGTCCACGCCGGCCGTGGAGTCCAGCGACTCGGGGTGACCTCGTGCATGACGGCAGAGCTGTGCCCCGCGGGGTTTCCAGCGTCGATCACTTGGACACAGACTGTGAGGGCTTGTGTCTGGGGCACCCCTCGGTGGACTCAGACCTCCAGCCTTCCACTTGGCAGCTGAGTGCGTGGACCATTTATGTCACTAGGGACTCCTTTAAAACGGTGGTCCGTTGATATAGCAGCACTGCTCGATGAAAAGAGGGACTGACCCACAGCTGTACCGACACACAACCAAGGAGGGCACCAGCACTGACCACAAGGGGCGTGAGGGGACGCCCTAGGGTCACGGCAGCCTGGCGTGGCTGGAGGTCACAGGCAAGGACGGTCCCACTTGGTCTGAGGTCACAGGTGATGACATCCCATTTGGTCAGGGGCCACAGGCAATGACATCCTGGCTTGATCTGAAGTCACAAGAGATGACGTCCTTGTTTGGTCTAAGGTCACAAGAGATGACATCCCGGTTTGGCGTGAGGTTGCAGATGATGACAGTCCGTTTGGTCTGAGATCGCAGGGGATGGTGGTTCTGGTCTGGTGGGAGGACACTGGGTACATGTGTGTGACAAGTCACCAAGCCTGCCTGTCCTTTTGACTGTAACCAGCCCTCAGTCAGCTCTGGGGAAGGATGTGTTGGTGTGCACGACACAGCCCACCCCGAGTTGAAAACAGAGGACCTAAGATACCAGTCAAAGGGTCGGAGCCGCTGTGTCCTTGTTGCCTCGACAGACGCATGGCGACCCCAAGTGTGCAGTGGACTCCTGGGGTCATCAAGGCTGCGGCCTTCGGAAGCAGGTCACAGGGTCTGTCTTCTCATGCCCCCCGGGTGGGTTCAAACCACCCACCTTTCAGCTAGTAGGCTAGCGCCAATCCGTCTGTCACCCAAGGACCTTCTGAAACATCACCAGCAGATAAAATTCCAATGACGGTGGAAACACTGCTGGGGTGAACAGCAAACCCATGTAACACCAAGAAGACAGGGCCACCGTGGATAGTGTAAGGAGCTCTGCTGGCTTGGTGCCTAAGGGATCTGACTGCTAACCAGAAGGTTGGCAGTCAAGCCCACCAGCTGCTCCTCTGAAGGAAGGTGGGGCAGTCTACTTCCATAAAGACTGGCCACTTTGGAAACCCAACGAGGGTCACTATGAGTTGGAATCGACTCAATGGCAGTGAGTTTGGTTGGGTTTGGTTTTATTGAAAGTACAGCCAGTGAACACACAAGTCTGCAGTCGGGTCACACAGCTCGAGGGGGACCTGGTCTCCCACTTTCTGGGCCAGCAGCTCCTAGGCTCTGACACCGCCTACCCAGCTGCCTGCCTCTCAGCCTTCTCCCCATTTCACCAGCAAATACGCTCAGCTCTTCGCTGAAACGTCACCTTCTGGGACAGGGTGCCCGCTGTTATCTGTACCTGCCTGGGGCCTCCTCAGCCAGAGGTTGGCCAACACGTGGACAGAGTGCAGGGCAGCTCTCGGGTGGACTGTGGGCCCAGCCCCCTGGGCGCCTGCCTCCCTGACTAACCCGCTTCTCTGCTTGCAGTCCTCATCACGGGAGGCATTGTGGCCACCGCCGGCCAGTTCACCCAGTGGTACTTTGGGGCATATTCCATGTATCCTTGTTGGCACCTGCCACCCTCCATGTGGGCGGGTGGGGACAGCGTGGGTGGGAGCTGGGCTCCGAGGACAAGGACACAGGCCGTGGGGCTTGGCGGGTGAGGCCACTGCCCCGTGGGCACAGCACTTCATTGAGTGGTTTTCACTCCATTCTGTTTTGTCACCATTGGGAGCCAGGGGGCAGTAGGGCCCGCTTTGCAGTGTGGGAAACAGCCCAGAGCAGGGTTGGGGCCTGCCCATGTCCACAGGGTTAGTAAACCTGCCCCATGCTGGGCAAGCGGTGGCAGAGTCAGGGGCCCCCCACTGGCCCAGGCCTTGACTCCGAGCAGGCTGGCCCAACCATTACAGCCTGTGCACCCACCTGAGGGGCAAGAGGGTGTGGGATGGCGCCTGCCCCTCCCAGTTCTCCACGGACGGGGGGGCTCCTCACGCACCCCGGGCTGTCTGATCCTTGACCGAGAGCTTAGTGCAGCAGGGGTGCTGGTGTGCCTGCTGGAGTACCCCCGCGGGAAGAGGAGGAAGGGTTCCACCATGGAGCGCTGGTGAGTGCCCACCCTGCAGGGCCGTCCTCAGGCTCCTGGGGTCCATGTAGGGGTCCTCGGCGGGACAGATACTGACACTGCTGCCTGTCCCCCGCCCGTCCCTCCCTCTAGTGGACAGAAGTATATGACGTCGGTGGTGAAGCTGTTCGGACCCCTCACCAGGAATTACTACATCCGGGCCTTCCTGCACCTTGCGTGAGTCTCCACCTTTGCTCCACACTCAGCTCCAGGAACAGAGACCTTGGGGTGGCCCTGCCCCCTGGTCTGGGGGCCTGGGCAGGAGACCTTGGGCTAAGTCAGACTCCCTCCCTGCCTAGACGTGTTTGCAAACCACCACCCAGAACTGAGCTCAGGCAGCGGCTCCCCGGATCTGCGTCAGGGTTCTCTCACTGCAGAACAAAGCCCCTAACCTCTGGGTTCCAACGCGAACAGCCATGGTTCCGGGGTCGGCTGGGCTTAGCCAGACGGTTCTTGCTGGTGGAGGGTGAGCCATGGGGCTGCAGCCAAACGCCCACGCGTGGCCTCTTCACAGCTGGTTGGACTTCCTCCCACCATGGTGGCTTGGTTGCAAGAGCTGGTGCCTTGCAAGGTACCAGTCAAGGCAGAGGACAGCTTGAGGATGGACAGTGAGAAGACAGTCCTGCAGGGCTGGCATCCCCTTGGTCTGGGTTCTGGAGGCCCGAGATCTCACGGCCTCCGCCCCAGGAGCAGGCTTCGGCCCTTTCTGACTGCGCTACCTGGTGTCCCGTCCCCTTCCCAGGCTGTCCGTGCCTGCAGGCTTCCTGCTCGCCACCATCCTGGGGACTGCCTGTTTGGCCATTGCGAGTGGCATCTACCTGCTGGTGAGTCGTGTCCTCTGTAGCCAGCCCCCCGGCCACCCCTCCCTTGGCCCCTGACAGCCTCGCCTCACAGCTGTTCTGAAGGCTGGGCCAAGGCCAGCCGGGGGCTCTTGGAGCCCCTGCAGGAAGCAAGCTTGTGCCCTGCTGACGAAGGTTTTCAGGGTCTAAGGTGTGCTGGGTCCTTTCCCACGTTTCTTTATTCACCTGCAAGGCAGGCGCTGTCCCCCCAGACGAGGACATGGAAGCTCAGAGAGGTGTGAGGCTTGCCTGGGGTCACACAGCCAGCCAGGGGCCCAGCCTGCATGTGGACCCCCTCTATCAGACTGGGCCCACCCAGGCCATCTTTTCTGTAGTGCTGGGGCTGGATGTCAGGACCTCCTGGGGGAACCTGTTACCAGTGCGGAGGTAGAGAGTTGAATTTGCCTGAGACTGAGGGGAATGGGCTCCCACTATGAGGAAGCCTGTGTGACAAAGTCATGTGCACAGAAGGGCAGGGATGGATAAGTGACCAAGGCCACCCTGGGGAAGCACGTAGCCCCGGCTCGGTGAAGCGTTGGCGGTTCCCAGGACGCCAGGGCAGAGGGGCGCTGGTGTGGCCCCCTTCCCCACCCCCGCCCCAGGGGCAGCACTGCCTGAGAGCCCCACGGGCACCTGTGATTCCCTGCGTTATTGGAGAACGTGCAGTGTCTTCTGAGTCTGCTCTGTGTTATATAAACGGAGCCGTGTTTTAAGTGTGCACATCTCTCTCTGCTTTTCAATTCCGTCCCATTGCTGTGTGCACCCACTCCTTCATCCTCACAGCTGTGGAACCCCATACCTTACCTCTGCTCTCTCCCGGGATCACCCAGGTGCCCCCAGCTCTCCACAGCCACGGGCAGCCCATCCCCTCAAAGACCTGAGTGTGAACGTCCTTGGGTTAAGCCCTGAGTGTGATTGCTAAATTGGCTCGGCTTCTGGCGGTTGTGGTGTGGTGTTGGTTGCTGTGTGGCGTCGGCTGGTACTCCAGGCCCAGCTCGTGGCCACGCACCCAGCCAGCACCTGGTCCACCTCCCTGAGCTCGGCTTTCCCAGCTTCCTGCTCGTAGCACTGGCGGTTTACCAGGTGTGAGGCTGACAGGTGATCCTGACTCCATCTCTGCAATGAGTTGAGCGTGTGCCGGAGCCCTGCCCGTGTGCATGGCCCATCTTCCCACATGTCTGGCTGCCTGTCTAGTCGGTCGGCAGGAATTCCACGTGCATCTCAGCCATTGAGCACCTGTGGGATTCAGACCTGTGGCTTCTCCCCTTTCCTTAAGGGTCAGCCAACTTTGTCCAGGAAGGTCTTCCTTCAACACAGCGGAAGTTTGTCTGTCCGTCCGTCCATCTGTCTGTGTGTCCGTCTGTCACCTCGTTCAGGGTGGAAGGTTCTAGCTCTTAAGTTAGGTGGTGTGGTTGCAGATGCTTACGGTAGTACCACTTTCCAAAGGATACACAATTCCCCAAACCAAACCCACTTCCAGACTCAGCGCCCCTAGAGGACAGAGTGGAACTGCCCACGGTTTCCAAGGCTGTCTGTCTGTCTTTAGGAAACTGACTGCCTCATCTTTCCGAGCAGCTGGTGGCTTTGAACTACAGCCTGTCGGTTAGCAGCGAATGCTTAACCACTGCCCACCAGGGCTCTATACAGAGAGTATATGCTGTTACATATTTGGGGACTGATTAAATATGGATACAGATTTAAAATACGTTCCCAGTTTACCTACTCGGAGGATCTGGGGCCGGGCCCAGGAGTCTGTATGTTTAGGAGCCCCTGCCCCCCCCCCGGAAGTAGACCCCTCCCTTTGCCACACCTGCAAACAGGCTTGGAGCCCTCTGGGCGGGTGCAGGGTGAGGGGTCCCCCGCCCTGCTCTCCCTGGCTGCCCCTCTGCCCCGCCCTTCCCCGCGAGCTGGCCAGCATTCCTGGAAACTCCACGACCTCCCTGGGGCTCCACCCAGTGCCCGTGACGGAGGCCTGGGAATCCCGTGTGGTTTGGGATTTGCACCAGGAAGTTATGTCCTGGGCTCTTGCATTGGCCCGCCCCCACGTGAAAGAGCCTGGCTGTGTGACCCTTGGCAGGTCACGCAGCCTCTCTGAGCCCGAGGCCCTTCATCTCCGGTGCACCCAAGTGAGGGTGGGCGTGGGTAGGGGCGCAGGTGACCTGCAAGGGGCGGCTCCCAGTGTTCCCCTCCCCCTGCAGGCGGCCATCCGCGGCGAGCAGTGGACCCCCGTGGAGCACAAGCCCAAGGAGCTGCCACAGGTGGGCGGCACCATCAAGCAGCCGCCCCGCAACCCCCCGCCACGCCCCCCGGCCGAGGCCCGCAAGAAGCCGAGCGAGGGGCCAGAGGACGCGGCCGCCGACGGCTCTGCTGACGGCGCCCAGACCAACCCCCTCCCAGTGACCGACGAGGTCGTGTAGCTCCCCCGCGCGGCCACCAGGCGGCGCCCGCGCCCTCCCGCAATAAAAGGAATGAGCCCAACTCAGGGGCTCGGGCGTCTTCGTGGGGGTCCGGCCGGCGCGCGCCCGGGATCGTCCGCCGAGGCTTCACAGTGCACCCCTCTTCTGCCTCCTAAGAGCCACAGGTGTGTTTCGGTTTTACTGGCAGCAGTTTTCCTTCTCAGTGGCGCGGGAAATGACCGTGCACCGTATATTTTATGCAGTACGGTACCTGCGGTTCCAAGTCTTTGACTTGACTCTGAATGTGCATGCCCGGCTTGGGAGGGGTGAGCGCCTGCTCTGCAGCTCCCCAGACCCGGTTAGACCCACCTTCCTAGAGCCTCCCTGACACCACCCGAGGGGCTTGGTTCCAGAATTTTCCGGGGGCTGAATGAGGGGGAGTTGGGCGGGGTGTGAGTGAGGCAGGTGAGGCGCAGGTGGCCCTCCTTGCACAGGTGAGGCGTGGTGCGGGCGCGGCGTGTCTGCCCACATGGAGGGCGTCAGGCTAAGTGGGAGGCTCTGACTGCTCTCCCCCCCACACACAAAAACAAACAGCCCTCCTTAGCCTTGAAAGGGCGCAGCTGGGTCCCCAGGGCTCCGGCCTGGCCGCCTCCAGCCAGCAGCCTGTAGTTAACCCCACCCCATGTTTTCTTCAGCTCACTCCCTCCAGCCTGGGACACCTTTTCTCCTGCTGTGGCCCCACTCCCGGTGAGGCTGGGACATTCCTCAAGCCCCCTGTTTGTCCCCCCTGCCCTGGAAATCATGTTCAGAGCCGGGGGACCCTCTCATGGGTCGCGGGAACCTTAACGCTGCGAACCACTCCCCAGTGCACCAAGGTCTGCCCCCATCGCAGCGACTCCATCCTTCCAGCCTCGGATCCCCGATTCCCTCTCTGCACGGGTCCCCCTACCTCCCCTCCCTGCTCGGTCTTCCATCTCGCCCCACCCCCTGCAGGGACGGCGGCCTCGCTCCTGCGGGGGGTGTCCAGCCCTCTGCCCGGTGAGTCACAGTCTCTGCCCAGACTGGCTCTCCGCAGCCACCAAGGGCCCCAGGCCCAGTCCGCTCCACACCCCATCCCAGCCCTGCCGGGGACTGACACTGCCACCAGGGCCTTGGCAAGCTGTCCCCTCAGTGGTCACGGCTCCCTGTTGGCCTGCCCTGGGCTCTGCTCAGATGTCCCCAGCGAGGCCCTCGACCTGCTGTTGGGCCCCGCAGCCCCTCCTGCACACCCACCCGGCTCCGGTGCGGCTCCCCATCCGAGCCCTTTGCGCGCCCCCTCAGCGTGTCAGCCCCCCGCTGGCATGGGTGGGTTGGTCCCAAGAGCAGCAGGGGCGACCTGCACATGCAGCTCCTCAGCCACAGGCCTGTAGTTGAGGGCGGCGGGGAGCTGGCACAGCCAGGCCTGCCCACTGCTGCCGGACCGCTGATTCAGGGCCCCCCACCTCCTCACACCCAGTTGGACTCCTGCCTGGGACAGGCATCTGGGGTTGCCAGGAAGTTGGTGTCCTGGCAGCCACCTGGGCCTGGCAGGTCCCCCTGCAAAGGACCCGGGAGCAGCATCCGAGGGACTGCCTGCCTGCCTGGCACTCGCTGGGCTTGAGAGCGGGGCTGGGATGCGGCATTTGCCAGGGGGAGAGCAGGTAGGGGTGTGATGTAGGGGGGGCGCGTGCTCCCACCTGTCCCCCCCCCCCCATGCATCTGCCGGCTGGTGCGCAGAAGTTTCTGGAAGCGCACGCAGAGACCCAGGGCCCATGACAAGGAAAGCACTTGCTCCACCAAATGACCATCTGCGCAATCAAATGCCCCCCGGGTGCCTGTCCATTCAGTCGCGAGCACACACTTTTAGAAGAAATACAAATAGTTTATTAAGAAAATAGGGGGTGCCTTTCCTCCTGAGGGCACTGGCAGGAGGCGGCCCGGGGTGGCTGGGACCAGCGAGGGGGCTGCGGGGACGCCGGGATCTGCTGTTTTGAAGATGGTTTCAGGAGGGAAAGACCTCCCAGCCACTGGTCTTTCACAAAAGGGTAAACTGAGGCTGGAGGTGGCGTGACGGGCAGGGTCACAGCAGAGGGCTGGACCCGCGTCTCCCCTCACCTCTTCCACTGCTGGCCTCGGACAGGAGCCGGGGGTCCCCGAGGCGGCCGAGGGCCCGCGAGCGGCGGGGCATCCCCCAGGCGAACATAAATAACCAATAAATACGCATAAATAGCGGGGCGGGACGCGCATGGCGCCCCGCTCACCCCGCGGTCGACCTGGGCAGCACGCAGGTGCAGCCGACCGGCACGCGGATGAACTCGGCGCGGAAGGTGGCGGCCCCGGGCTGGGGGGTGCCCGCGCCGTCGGGGGCGCACGGCAGGCGGCGCAGCACCAGGAGACGCTGGTGCAGCCGCACGGAGTTGAGCGCCGCGGTCTCGCGGCCCGTGCGCGCGCTGATGCAGCCCCGGCACAGGCACTCTGCGAAGGCGAGCTTCTGTGGGTAGCGGTTCTCGTCCGTGTCGATGCTGCGGGCGGCGGCGGGGAGTGCGCTCAGGCACCGGCACCGCCCGCGGCCGCTGCGCCTGGGCCCCCACTCTGACCCTAAGCGCCCAGGACCCGGAGGCAGAGGACGGCAGCTTCGGGAAGCACGCACTTAGCGCGGGGCTCGGCGTGGAGGTGGCAGCCCACGAATGGCGCCGTTACCCACGTGTCCCCGCTGTCTTCCCTGCCCACCAAGCCCGGTCTGGTCCCCACAGGGGCTCAAGTGGGGCATCCAGAAAGTTCTTGGGAGACCTTTAGGCTCAGGTCTGGGGACAGCGCCCAGAAGCGAGGCAGTCCAAGGGGGACCTCGGCTGGTGGCGCCCACTTTGCCGGGGCAGTGGGGCTGGGTGGGGAACGTCAGGATAGGTCTTGGGGAAGCCAGTGCCCAAAGGGTTGGAACCCGAGCCCAGGCCCACAGCTCACCGGTATCTCCAGGGTGAGATGGATCGCTCATGGATATCTGCTTCTAACACCTGTTCTGGCCGAAGTGCTGGGCACTGGGTCCCGGCCAGCGACCTGTCATGCCGGCTCCGGTGGCTCTCCGCCTCCAGGCTGGACACCAGGGTCACAGGCAAGGTCTGCTCCCACTTGGCGCTTCGAGCCCACAAGTGTTGAGGTGGCCGGCCCAGCGTCAGCTCGTCAGTGGAGTAGCAGCGTGTGGTCTGGTGGGCGTGGGGACCCCCCCACGGTGGGGTGCCACGGTGGGCCAGGTTAGCCGGCAGCCAGAGCAGAAGCAGGAGGCCTGGGATCTGCTGGCAGAGCAGACAGCAGCCGTCAGGGGGGCCCAGTCGGAGCCACTTGGCTGCCCCTCAGCTTGCCTGTGAATGCGCTCCAGCCCCTCTCCCCAAGGTACCCAGGGTGCAACAGAGATCCTGGCTTCTGGGTCGGGGCTTGGCTCCCCACCTGCACAGTTTGGAGAGTTCCCAGCTCCCATCCCAAGTCCTCACCCCGGGACTCAGCAAACCTCCAGCCCTTTGGGGCCAGGCGCACACTGCCCAGGTGAGAGCCCGGGCGGCGGGCGTGGACTCACCATTTTGGCAGCGGCTGGGCTCAGAGCGCGCACCGTGGCCGGCCTGGCAGCAGCATGCACGGCGCCCTTTATACCTGGGGCCACACCTGGGGAAACTCCTGGTGCTGTACCGCTTCCTCCTGGGGAAGTGCCCAGCCACGGGCTTGCTCACCTGACCCTTTCCTGGAGCCCAGGCGCCCACCCCCACTCCATCCCCTTAGCTGACCGCAGGAATGGACACAAGGAACCCATGTGAAGCTGGGGGCAGCCCAGTTCCTGCCACCTCTTCCCCACCCAGAGGAACCCCCTTCCCCAGGTGTGCTATTCTGTAAATGGGGATTGCCTTGCCTGACATTCTAGAACCTTCTGTGACAGTTTCAGTGCCAGCACCCTCGGCAGCTTGCTCCTGTATCCACTGACTGTTTTCTCTTTGGCCCCATGGCGGGGACCCCGTTCCTCCCTCTCTGCTGCCCTGCACGCCTCTGCACAGCTTTCCTTCAGCTGCGTGTGTGAGGGTCTCCACGTCCCCTGTTCTCTCTCTGAGACGGTGTCAGGTTGTCTAGAAGGTGTGTGAAGGCTCAGGAAACTGCCAGGGGCCTGACCGCCGCCAGCTCCCTGGAAAGCTTTAGTCAAGGACCTGCTTAGGAGGGCACTTCTGTCTCGCCTCAAAGCAGACGGTTTGAAGGCAGAACTTGGGAGAGTTTTAATTTTTTAAAAAATGCATTTTATTGAAATATAATTTATGTACAGTGAAATACACAAAACTAAAGTGACATGGGTCAATGCATTTTTTTTTTCTTTTGCAGTGTTCC